TTACAGATGGCATAACATCAGGAAATAAGATTTAAAATTTGATATCTCTTTCATCGTTACTCTTTAATGGGTTAAAGAGTAACGGACTGACTGGACGGTAGAGCGACGGTCTCGCCTCATGCAGGTCGGCGTTCAATCCCCGACCGTCCACCAAGTGGTTGGGCACTATTCCTTCCCCCCCGTCCCATCCCAAATCCTTATCCTGACTCCTTCCCAGTGCTATAAAGTCGTAATGGCTTGGTGCTTTCCCCTGATAATTAAAAAAAACATTACTAACAGAACAAAACTCTTTAATGGGTTTCTGCAAATTTAATATATTTTTCTTTGAAAATAATATTGCAATAGAAAATATATATTTTATTGCATTAATTAGAGAGAAAATTATACCTTAAATTTAAACTATTTATTATTTTTATGCTTCTTGATAAGAGGTCGGTCTATAAATTTGTAACTTAATTAGCCTTTTAATTTCAATTTAAGAAATTTTTAGGGAAATTTCCGTAACTGTGCTTTAATCAAAACTTGGAAGCAGCTAGCAAAGTTTTCCAATAAATTAGAAATATATATACAGTTTGCAATCTATGCAGACAGCAAGCCACAATAACTTGCTTGACAATTTGACACCCAACGCACACACACATCAAAAGATACAGGAAGTCACCACGTTTCGGTCAGTCCTGGGCCCAGATTCACGAAGCAGTTACGCGAGCACTTACGAACCTGGGGCCAGATTCACGAAGCAATTACGCGAGCACTTACGAACCTGGGGCCAGATTCACGAAGCAATTACGCAAGCACTTACGAACCTGGGGCCAGATTCACGAAGCAGTTACGCAAGCACTTACGAACGTGTACATCTTTCCTCAATCTTTGACCGCTTTGGTTACATTTATTAAACAGTTTACAAGCATGAAAACTTGCCAATCAACTGTAGTTATTGTTATAAACAGCCTCCTGGTGTTTCGGAGCTCATTAACTGTTTAATAATTGCAATCAAAGCCGCCAAAGTTTGAGAAAAGATGAACAGGTTCGTAAGTGCTTGCGTAACTGCTTCGTGAATCTGGCCCCAGGTTCGTAAGGGCTTGCGTAACTACTGCGTGAATCTGGCCCCAGGTTCGTAAGGGCTTACGTAACTGCTGCGTGAATCTGGCCCCAGGTTCGTAAGTGCTCGCGTAACTGCTTCGTGAATCTGGCCCCTGAACATGACAGTGGTTTGAGACCGACCGAAACGTCGTCACGTTTTCTATGTTCTGATATATGGGTTGGTTTTTGGCCTCATTGCGCTCTTAGAAAAGCAACGAATCGGTCAATTCTCATGATCCTAAGTTTCAGGTTGCACGAAAAAGCTGCAATTAAGGTTTTGAGAACCATCTCATTGACACCCCCACTCCCAGAATGGCTAGTTTCAGGTAACAAGTTGGTTTCTGTGTACGAGACGAACAACGCTTTTCGCACCTTTCACACATCCTGGGAGACAGGATCCCAAAGCCGTCTAATTGATCGCATTTTGTCAAATTTTTTCAATCCAATTGAATTGTACAATCGCATTTTTGATCGCATTTCCGACCAATTGATTGATTGATCGTCCAAAGATCGCGGTTGTTCAACACACTCCCAGCGAGCATAAGAAATATTGCCTGAACAACCGTGGACATCTTCAAGAGGAAACTAGATTGTTTCTTCCATGGGGACAGCCAAGCGGGCTGTGGTGGGTATGTGGGCCTGCGGGCCGCTCCAAGCAACAGCCTGGTGGACCGAGCTCTCACAAGTCAAGCCTGGCCTCGGGCCGAGCTTGGGGAGTAGAAGAACTCCCAGAACCCCATCAACCAGGTACACCCAAAGCCGTCCAATTGGGTGTTGACTTGTTAGACGCGTAGACTCGTTTAAGGTCATATCGCAACACATCCAATTGGCCCTCTTGAACTGTCCTAGTGGACACAATTCCCATAAATAACACCAATTCAACGCCGAATCAACGCCATTCATGGATATTATACATACCGGGAATTGAATTGAACTATCGGGGGAAAGCGCCAAGCCATTACGACTATATAGCACTTGGAAGGGGTCAGGATAAGGATTTAGGATGGGACGGGGGGAAGGAATGGTGCCTCTTGGTTGACAATCGGAGATTGAACACCGACCTGCATGAAGTCAGACCGTCGCTTTACCGTCCAGCCCAAGTGATTGGGCTGATTGAACTTGACGTTAATATCGCTCTGAACTTTTCTCCCCTATATCAACAATAAGCGGATATCATCAGCGGCATATGCAATATAGTAGCCGAGGTAAGGAAGGCCTTTTGACATACAAATAAGGAATTATAATAAGCTAAATATATCGCATATATTAGATTTAGTTCTGGTCTATGCGGCGCCAGCTTTGAATTCTTATCTAGTGAAACAGAAAACTAATGTGGAAAGCCTCCGCTGGGATGCCACTAGACCGGTCCCAGTGGTGAGAGATAAGAGTTATGAGGAACAACTAAAGGAACTTAATCTCAAGTAACTTGAGAGAAGAAGACTAGATGAGAAAGTCCTGGGCAGATAAGGACAGACTGTTTACAACGGGCGATGCACAAACAAAAAGACACAGTTATAAACAATAAACAAAATAAATAATCCATTCACCTGGGCTGTTTGGGGCTCGAACCCTGGATCCCATGCGTGTGAGGCCAAAGTTTCGAAAATCTTGAAAAAAAAAATCTTCAGTTTCGAAAATTTCAGTTTGGCAGCAGGTTGCTGCTTCTGGAAACTTTCCCTATTAAGACCACTCATAGCCCAGTCGATTCAAACTCTAAGCAGCTTCGTATATAAATGTGATTGAGCCCAATAGGCTCAGGAACCTGTACACCACTTAAGTTTGAGAGGCGGGAGCCAAGAGCAGAGTCTCAACCTCCCACAGAAACAAAGGCGAATACAATTAGTGAAGGACAACAGTCGACAATAACAGAGGGAGGGAATTATCAGGGGAAAGAGCCAAGCGATTACGACTATATAGCACTAGGAAGAGATAAGGATGTGGGATGGGACGGAGGGAAAGGAACAGTGCCCAACCACTTTGAGGACAGTCGGGGATTGAGGGCAGCAAAACAAGTTTGAAAAATCACTCCCCCTCTCCTCCCCCCCCCCCAATAGACAGTCGACAGCTCCAGAACATTTCTGTCTGTTTATCGGAGAAAGAAATTGAAAGCAGCTGCCAATAACTCAACAAACAGATGATCTGCCGCGAGGTCTTATGGAGATGACTGAGCAAGGAGCGGGGAACCGAGGCTCCTGGCGACGGAGTCCACCCTACAACCCCAAGAAATGCGGCCTGGAAGAGAGGACAGAAGACGAGACCACAGGAGGCATCCAGCATCCTGGAACCCAGCCTCCAAACGAGACCAGGTCATCTGATCAAACAGCCTCCAAACGAGACCAGGTCATCTGATCAAACAGCCTCCAAACGAGACCAGGTCATCTGATCAAACAGCCTCCAAACGAGACCAGGTCATCTGATCAAACAGCCTCCAAACGAGACCAGGTCATCTGATCAAACAGCCTCCAAACGAGACCAGGTCATCTGATCAAACAGCCTCCGAACTAGACCAGGTCATCTGATCAAACACTGGCATCAAGACACAGTGCCAAGAGGTGCCACAAGGAGCCTACAGTTATCTAATATCCCGAGACGAAGCCAGACGACGAGGCTGGGAATCGAACAACAGAGAAATGGGCCATTAAGACCAATATAGCAGATCCACGAGGCCATAGACAGGTCCGTGGGCCGGAGACAGCAGACAAACTCCACGAGACGCAGACCGTAAACAGATCTCAAAATGGGGGACCTAGAGAAGATAGCAGACCTATGGAGACTATAGATTCCAGAACTATATCCAGGGGTATAAGGTTCCTGGATACGAACCCTGGATAGGCGTCCTCGAGAAAGCAACACAGGGAGCCAGGATGAACCCCCCCCCGCGTCAAGCTTATTCCACCCCCCCCCCCCTCTTCAAGCTGATTCATACAGACCTTATCTGCATGTGCCTGAGTTCATATTAAGCTTCATGAATAAATGATCACGCTAAAGCTTTTAAAGGGAAGGCGGCGCCTGGCAGGAGGACAACCTGGCGACCCAGGACAATGGCGGAGGATGGAAGGGTAATGGGACAAAGCACTAAATAATGGAATACAATAGAGAGAAGTGAATACATTTAGAATAGAGAAAAAATTGAAGAATTCGCTGCCAATGAGACAAAACAAATAATGGTGGACAATTGATGGTAAAGATCAAATGACTGAGGAAAATTGATGAAGATCAACTGATTGAGGAACATTTATAGTGAAGAACAACCGAGGAAGAACAACTGACGATGAAGAACAACCTAAGGAAGGGAACTATCAGGAGAGAGCGCCAAGTCATTACGACTATATATCACTGGGAAGGGGTCAGGATGAGGATTTGGGATGGGACGGGCAGGGCTAGGAATGGTGCCCAACCACTTGGTGGACGGTCGGGGATTGAACGTCGACCTGGATGAAGCGAGACCGTCACGCTACCGACCAGCCCAAATGGTTGGGTAATAACCTAGGAAGAACAATGATCGAGAAATATCAACCTTATTGCGAGAAAACGCAATATAAGGAGTTTACAATGGTATACCAGCTCTACGGTATACCAAGTCGACCAGGAAAACCATGGATACCCACCGCAGGATATCCTCTTGGTTGGGTTTAGGGGGCCCTCAGCCCTCATGGTTGGGTTTAGGGGGCCCTCAGCCCTCATGGTTGGGTTTAGGGGGCCCTCAGCCCTCATGGTTGGGTTTAGGGGGCCCTCAGCCCTCATGGTTGGGTTTAGGGGGGCCCTCAGCCCTCATGGTTGGGTTTACGGGCCCTCAGCCCTCATGGTTGGGTTTAGGGGGGCCCTCAGCCCTCATGGTTGGGTTTACGGGCCCTCAGCCCTCATGGTTGGGTTTAGAGGGGCCCTCAGCCCTCATGGTTAGGTTTAGGGGGGGGGCCTCAGCCCTCATGGTGGGGTTTAGGTGGGCCCTCAGCCTTCATGTTTGTGTTTAGGGGGCCCTCAGCCCTCATGGTTGGGTTTAGGGGGCCCTCAGCCCTCATGGTTGGGTTTAGGGGGCCCTCAGCCCTCATGATTGGGTTTAGGGGGCCCTCAGCCCTCATGGTTGGGATCATGAGGTTGGAACTGAGACACAGCAAGTCTGGGAGGTTATAAACCAACTCCTTAGTCCCCCCAAAGGCCGGCTTGCCAGGCGTGGGAAGACAAGCTGAAAAATAAGGGGGTTTTCTCCCCGTGGCGGCCACTATAAATTGTCTAAACTACAAATTCCACGTCGTTGGTCAAGGTCAGAGGTCAACCTGGCCACCTAAGAAGGTCGATCTTTGCATCGTGACCTCCTGTAAAGTCTACCTTTGAACCCTTGCCGATTATCAACCCTCTGGTACCTAGCAAGGGTGTTGAGAAGCCTAACTACATGAAACTACTATTGGTAGATTGCAAGTGCATTGCAAACTACCACAGCACTTATGGTATATATATCTATAGTTCTTCCTAACGGAGAGAAAGGAAGGGTTCCTAACTGACTATAAAGAAAGGAGAAGGGTTCCTAACTGACTATAAAGAAAGGAGAAGGGTTCCTAACTGACTATAAACAAAGGAGAAAGGTTCCTGACTGACTATAAAGAAAGGAGAAAGGTTCCTAACTGACTATAAAGAAAGGAGAAAGGTTCCTAACTGACTATAAAGAAAGGAGAAAGGTTCCTAACTGACTATAAAGAAAGGAGAAGGGTTCCTAACTGACTATAAACAAAGGAGAAGGGTTCCTAACTGACTATAAAGAAAGGAGAAAGGTTCCTAACTGACTATAAAGAAAGGAGAAAGGTTCCTAACTGACTATAAAGAAAGGAGAAAGGTTCCTAACTGACTATAAAGAAAGGAGAAAGGTTCCTAACTGACTATAAAGAAAGGAGAAGGGTTCCTAACTGACTATAAAGAAAGGAGAAAGGTTCCTGACTGACTATAAAGAAAGGAGAAGGGTTCCTAACTGACTATAAAGAAAGGAGAAAGGTTCCTAACTGACTATAAAGAAAGGAGAAAGGTTCCTAACTGACTATAAAGAAAGGAGAAAGGTTCCTAACTGACTATAAAGAAAGGAGAAGGGTTCCTAACTGACTATAAAGAAAGGAGAAAGGTTCCTGACTGACTATAAAGAAAGGAGAAAGGTTCCTAACTGACTATAAAGAAAGGAGAAGGGTTCCTAACTGACTATAAAGAAAGGAGAAGGGTTCCTAACTGACTATAAAGAAAGGAGAAAGGTTCCTGACTGACTATAAAGAAAGGAGAAGGGTTCCTAACTGACTATAAAGAAAGGAGAAAGGTTCCTAACTGACTATAAAGAAAGGAGAAAGGTTCCTAACTGACTATAAAGAAAGGAGAAAGGTTCCTAACTGACTATAAAGAAAGGAGAAGGGTTCCTAACTGACTATAAAGAAAGGAGAAAGGTTCCTGACTGACTATAAAGAAAGGAGAAAGGTTCCTAACTGACTATAAAGAAAGGAGAAAGGTTCCTAACTGACTATAAAGAAAGGAGAAAGGTTCCTGACTGACTATAAAGAAAGGAGAAAGGTTCCTAACTGACTATAAAGAAAGGAGAAAGGTTCCTAACTGACTATAAAGAAAGGAGAAAGGTTCCTAACTGACTATAAAGAAAGGAGAAAGGTTCCTGACTGACTATAAAGAAAGGAGAAAGGTTCCTGACTGACTATAAAGAAAGGAGAAAGGTTCCTAACTGACTATAAAGAAAGGAGAAAGGTTCCTAACTGACTATAAAGAAAGGAGAAAGGTTCCTAACTGACTATAAAGAAAGGAGAAAGGTTCCTAACTGACTATAAAGAAAGGAGAAAGGTTCCTAACTGACTATAAAGAAAGGAGAAAGGTTCCTAACTGACTATAAAGAAAGGAGAAAGGTTCCTAACTGACTATAAAGAAAGGAGAAAGGTTCCTAACTGACTATAAAGAAAGGAGAAAGGTTCCTAACTGACTATAAAGAAAGGAGAAAGGTTCCTAACTGACTATAAAGAAAGGAGAAAGGTTCCTAACTGACTATAAAGAAAGGAGAAAGGTTCCTAACTGACTATAAAGAAAGGAGAAAGGTTCCTAACTGACTATAGTTGTTCGTAACGGAGAGAAATGTCCTCCAGAGAGAGATAGAGCTTTTGCTGGAGTAAGATCTTGGGCTGTAAGAGGTGGCGTCTTGAAAGTTGCCACCGACTACATTGCTGCGCCAGTTTCGTTATATTGCACGTTCGCTTTCCTCCCGACTCTCGAGAGCGACTCTCTCTATCTCCCTTTGTCTCTCTCTCTCTCTCTCTCTTGTTCCTTCTTTCTCTTGCGGTGTAGTTTTCTTTTTGGTATTTCCCATTTTCCTGTCTGCATTGGCTTGCACTTGCTGGGGGTTGAACTCTATCATGTATATATATTATATGTAATTATATATATGTATAATCGGAAATTTATGTGCGAGGTTGGAGGCCAGATGATTTGAGGTTAGCGTCACCCAATTTTTCCCAATAATTGCTGTTAGGTACGTGAACAACATGGGTGGATCTGGGACTGTCATCAAAGAAAAGAGTGCAAGGTGGCACTGTGCCAAAGTTACCCCCATCATGAATCTTGCAATATCCTATTAAATGGACCCAGAATTATGTGATTTTTTCCCTGGTTTTTCTTTGTTTAATGCAAAGCAATACACACTGATGTCCACAAAATTCTCCAAAAAATTCTATCTTACTTTGCCCATAATCAACTGTAATATGAAAGTTGTGGTGATGTGATAGCATCATGGGGAAGGGGTTGGGTCTTTGGGTTGTGGGTGGCAGGAAGGTAAATAGGGAAGGGGGGATGGGAAAGAGGTAGGGAGCTCAGTAGGGAAGGGGAGGGGGGGGGGAAGAGGCAAGGTAAAACACCTCCCACTAATTCCTTCCAACTAATAAACTGCCGTTTTGTTTTAAATTTATATACACTGCGAAACCAATATATATTTTGTTCCTCTGCCTAATAAGAACCACCCAGCCCACTCTCCTATCCCATCCCAGACCTCTCTGATTCGCCTATCCCATCCCAGACCTCTCTGATTCGCCTATCCCATCCCAGACCTCTCTGATTCGCCTATCCCATCCCAGACCTCTCTGATTCGCCTATCCCATCCCAGACCTCTCTGATTCGCCTAACCCATCCCAGACCTCTCTGATTCGCCTATCCCATCCCAGACCTCTCTGATTCGCTTATCCCATCCCAGACCTCTCTGATTCGCCTATCCCATCCCAGACCTCTCTGATTCGCTTATCCCATCCCAGATCTCTCTGATTCGCTTATCCCATCCCAGACCTCTCTGATTCGCTTATCCCATCCCAGACCTCTCTGATTCGCCTATCCCATCCCTATAATTCACAATCTCTACACTCCTCCCCCTCTCCCTTCATCAAACACCAACACCACGCCAGTTCAACCCCCTCTCTCTCTCCCCTCCCACACACCCATTCCTCCCTACCTTCCCGTCGTGGGTGGGAGGGGAATATCTCTGGCAACGTGGGTGACATATCACCCAAGATCTCCCAGGTAGGGGGGGGGCTCGGGCTGCTACAACTCACCCAGGCTAAAATTTAGTTTCTTTTTCGTCTGCTCTCGGACGGGGTTCAGAATACCGTGAGGGGATTTTAATAAAATATATTATGGTGAAAATATATAAATATATTATATATTTATATTAGCATATTTTGGGAGCAGGTTTTCTCTAATACACATGTCATAAGACACAACACCATTTTGACTATTTTTAATTTTCTTCGGGATATTTTCACCTCTACGCAAATATATTCTACCATCTGGAGGCTGAAGAAACACTAGATCACATAATCTTTCCATTTTTGTTTTTAAAATATCAAACAAAGTATTTGCTGAAATAATCAGAATATAAATACAAAAAAATATATTTGGAGGGGACGTAAACATTCCCTCTAATGCGTTATGTGTGGTTTCCTCCGAGGCTAAAGGTCCCCCTTCTTCCAGCCAGAGGTGGTACTCCCTTTCCTATTAAAAATATACTTATATTATTTTAGTTAATAAAGTATCTAGACATCTTTTCTTACTAGGAACGGGGCTGCCATTGTTACTTTTACAGACATCCATGACAAGGAGTCGAGAAATATGCTGTTTAAACAAGTGAACAGCATAAATGGAGAGACATATGTTGACATTACCAAAGCTGTACCCATGATGTGTGGATACATCTGGCAGCGCATACCTGGCTTAATATGTGAGTATGTGTGGGGGGGGGGTAGGGGGGGGTAGTGGGGGTAGGGGGGGGGAAGGTGTGGTCTGGGGGGGTCGCTTACACCTGGAGCAGAATTAGTATTTTACCAGTGTTGAGTTGATGAGTTGTGTAGACCAACAGGTGGAACACCACTCACTCGACTCCCCCCCCTCCACCCAACTCAACCCCCCCCCCCCATCAATTCCACCCACGGCAAATCCGCCTGGGATACCACTCGGCCCATTTGTGTTCTATCAAAGGGAAAGATATATTAAAGATAATGCACTATGTCAGTATAGCTATGTAGAACTTGTAAGGAGCTAGGACATGAAGACAAGGTGCTGGGACACTTAGAATGGTGCCCAACCACTTGGTGGACGGTCGGGGATTGAACGCCGACCTGCATGAAGCCAGACCGTCGCTCTACCGTCCACCCCAAGTGGTTGGGCTAGATCTTATTTGTATTCGTCAATTAAATAAAATTCACGAGAATAATTAAAAAGGTCTTTTATGCCTTCTATGGTAATTCAATACCACAGTTTAGCACATAGGAAACTACACACACCTGAAGGAAAGTACATATAAACACACATATAAAGAGCCACGCCCCACACATGGTTGTAAATCCTAAAACAAGTTGACTCAGCCAGATAACAGGTCCATACAACCATTAAATTATAATGGATGCTGCTGAGTTTGTGTGGAGCAAATGGTTGGCTCCCCCTTCCCTATTCATGTGTACTCACCTAGTTGTGCTTGCGGGGGTTGAGCTCTGGCTCTTTGGTCCCACCTTTCAACTATCAATCAACTGGTGTACAGATTCCTGAGCCTACTGGGCTGTCATATGTCACTTCATCGCTATGCAAGAGGCTTGATGACAAGGCCGGGAATCATCACGTATTTAAGCAACCCTCCTTACGAAACATCTACATCATTCCTCAATCATTACGGCTTTGTATATATTCATTAAAAAGCTTACGAACTTGGAAAATTTACAACCAAAGGTTATAAAAAGAAAACTTGTAACGCTTCGGAGCTCACACACTGCTTAATAAATGTAAAGAAAGCCACCAGGATGTACAGGTTTCGAAGTGATTGATGAAGAATAAGCCACCCAAGAGTTGGCACGGGCATGAATAGCCCGTAATTTTGTAAGTGGACGGGGTAGACTCTTGATAAGTCATGACTCCAAATGTCAAAGTTTTCGACAATTACTTTGTCAGTCTCTCTCAGCTGGAGAGTTTTGGTGAGTTTATATTGTGGTGATGATGAGGGCTGTGTTGGTGGTGATGAGGGCTGTGTTGGTGGTGATGAGGGCTGTGTTGGTGGTGATGAGGGCTGTGTTGGTGGTGATGAGGGCTGTGGTGGTGGTGATGAGGGCTGTGTTGGTGGTGATGAGGGCTGTGTTGGTGGTGATGAGGGCTGTGGTGGTGGTGATGAGGGCTGTGTTGGTGGTGATGAGGGCTGTGTTGGTGGTGATGGCTGTGGTGATGATGAGGGTTGTGTTGGTGGTGATGATGAGGGCTGTGTTGGTGATGATGATGAGGGCTGTGGTGGTGGTGATGAGGGCTGTGGTGGTGGTGATGAGGGCTGTGGTGGTGATGGCGGTGGTGGTGGTGATGAGGGCTGTGGTGGTGGTGATGGCGGTGGTGGTGGTGATGAGGGCTGTAGTGGTGGTGATGGCTGTGGTGGTGGTGATGATGATTGTGTTGGTGGTGATGATGAGGGCTGTGTTGGTGATGATGATGAGGGCTGTGTTGGTGATGATGATGAGGGCTGTGGTGGTGGTGATGAAGGCTGTGTTGGTGATGATGGTTGTGGTGATGGTGATGATGAAGGCTGTGTTGGTGATGAGGGCTGTGGTGGTGGTGATGATGGTTGTGGTGGTGGTGATGATGAAGGCTGTGTTGGTGATGAGGGCTGTGGTGGTGGTGATGAGGGCTGTGGTGGTGGTGATGAGGGCTGTGGTGGTGGTGATGAGGGCTGTGGTGGCGGTGATGACGAGGGCTGCGGTGGTGGTGATGGCTGTGGTGGTGGTGATGAGAGGGCTGCGGTGGTGGTGATGAGGGCTGTGGTGGTGGTGATGATGAGGACTGTGTTGGTGATGAATAAGAATGCACCGAAAATGAGAAAAAAATATGCAATTGATGATAGACAGACTTTAAGAAACAGACAAATCTTCCTGCAAGTCCACCACTTTCCCCCCCCCCCTCCACTCCCCCCTCCACTTCCCCCTCCACTTCCCCCCTAAACATCAATACCTACCCCACCCCCCCTCCCCCCCTCCCCCCTCCCCCCCTCCCCCTCCCCCCTCCCCCCCTCCCCCCTCCCCCCCTCCCCCCTCCCCCCCTCCCCCCTCCCCCCCGAATGTCGATCCTAAAAATTCTCAAGATTCACAACCTTTTATCCACTCGTGGAGGCCCAAGTCTCACCTAAGCTTCTGGGCCAGAGAGCAATCCTTCTCTCCCCCAGAGAAGTCTCCCAAGTAAATGGTTTCACCTTGTGGAATTCTTTGACTTTTCTGGCCAACAATTTCTTCAATCTCTCGAGACCTGAAGGACCACAGCCCGCGAATTATGTTTTTTTTTCGATTTAAGTTGTATGGGTGTATGTGTTTATTATTTCTAATAGACTTAAAACTCTCTCTCTTCACATTTTGAATCGCATTATTCCTTGGTAATTTTTGTCTAGAACATAACCTGTCAACCTCGCTACCCCTAGTTGTCCCTGGCTGTCTCTGGCTGTCTCTGGCTGTCTCTGGCTGTCTCTGGCTGTCTCTGGCTGTCTATGGCTGTCTCTGGCTGTCTCTGGCTGTCTCTGGCTGTCCCCGGCTGTCTCTGGCTGTCTTTGGCTGTCCCTGGCTGTCTCTGGCTGTCCCTGGCTGTCTCTGGCTGTCTCTGGCTGTCCCTGGCTGTCCCTGGCTGTCTCTGGCTGTGCCTGGCAGTCCCTGGCTGTCTCTGACTGTCCCTAGCTACCCCTGGCTGTCCCTGGCTGTCCCTGGCTGTCCCTGGCTGTCTCTGGCTGTCCCTGGCTGTCTCTGGCTGTCTCTGGCTGTCTCTGGCTGTCTCTTGACTGTCCCTGGCTGTCTCTGGCTGTCCCTGGCTGTCTCTGGCTGTCCCTGGCTGTCTCTGGCTGTCCCTGGCTGTCTCTGGCTGTCTCTGGCTGTCCCTGGCTGTTCCTGGCTGTCTCTGGCTGTCTCTGGCTGTCTCTGGCTGTCCCTGGCTGTCCCTGGCTGTCTCTGGCTGTCCCTAGCTACCCCTGGCTGTCCCTGGCTGTCTCTGGCTGTCCCTGGCTGTCCCTGGCTGTCTCTGGCTGTCCCTGGCTGTCCCTGGCTGTCCCTGGCTGTCCCTGGCTGTCTCTGGCTGTCCCTAGCAGCTCCTGCAACGATGCTGGGCACCTACTCCTGTTCACTTTATCTAAGTTCCCTCGTTATCTGCCGTAATTCCTTGTATCTGTCAAGGTAATAGAGTTCTACATCCAGCTTAACTAACCCAATTACCCAGTTACCTGTGTGTGAGTACTTACCTAGTTGCGTTTGCAATGCTGAGCTGCGGCTCCTGGTCCCGTCTTCAGGACATTCTTAGTACCATGACTTGCTTTGCATGTTGATATAATGCAAATCTGATTTTATATTCTAAGTAATAATCCAGAACTAACAAGCCAGGTGGTGTTTGGGGCTCCTTGTTTCCTTTGTACCCAGTTAGTCCCAACTACTTGCTTCTGAAAACCTATTCCACTTATGGATAATTCTAACACCGAAGAAATTGTGTTCGATTTGAGTTTTTTTGGATAAACTAATCAGGAGAGTTTGTTTTTTAGTTAAAGAGTTAATAAGGATTAGTTTTTTTGGATAAACTAATATGGAAAGTATAAATAACACTATCGACTGGATTATCTTGAGGCTATCTTGAGATGATTTCGGGGCTTAGTGACCCCGCGGCCCGGTCCTCGACCAGGCCTCCTTTTTGTTACACACCCCCAGGAAGCAGCAGCCCGTAGGAGCTGTGTAGGTACCTATTTACTGCTAGGTGAACAGGATAATCAGGGTGAAAGAAACTCTGCCCCTTTTGTTTCTGCCTCCACCGGGGATCGAACCCGGAACCTCAGGACTACGAATCCCGAGCGCTGTCCACTCAGCCGTCAGGCAATGTTCAAATATACATTTCATACAAATTGAAAGTGACGATGTTTCAGTCCTGGGCGCTTGTGTCGCCGTAACTCAGTGAAAGTGAGTAAGGTTTAGTCACTTTCGCCTCACACGTTAACCTGTCGTGAAAATTCTTGCTTGTTTTGTCGTTCAGAACAACAACGACAAACGTCTGAACGTGTAAGAATACCAGCTTGATCAAACCCATGTCAAATATACATTACTACACTACACACATGAATCACAATAGCGTGATGCATGAAATGAACCCATCCACAAGGGCCGTGACGAGGATTCGAACCTACGTCCGAGAGAATATACCAGACGCTGCCTTAATCGACTGAGCTACGACATGGTCAAAAAGAATTCCAACCAGAAGTTCTACTGAACTTACTTGGATCCTGCCTGCAGCCTCTCCGAGACACAAACCAATATTTTACACAGTTCCCCCCCCCCCCATGCACTCGAGCTATGGTGGTGATGTCAATAAGTCGTTCTACCTCTTGTTTATGTTATTTAATGTTTATATAATGTTTATACATTACTTTAATGTTTATATAATGTTTATACATTACTCTATTCCACAAAATACTGCTTAAGACCTGAGAGGTATATACGATTCACTTAACATCCTACAGTACGATTATCTAATCATTGTCACTATTCATTATCCAATCTTATTAATAAATTTAATTTTTTTGGGCATGGATATTCCCTCGGGGACCCAAAGCCTGTAGGTAGCCAAGTGTTATTCACTTCAGTCTTACTCAGGCGATGAATGAGTGAATATTGGCCTCAGTGAGCTTATATCCACTGTCAATTTCCAGGGGACATGAAGAACTGGCAACGCTGCTTCCAATTTGATTTTCCCCATTTCTAAAAGCCATTTAATTGGAAAATAATCAATAGAGCTGTTAATCCTCTGTCTTACAGAACGAGTCGCGGGTTTTAGGGGTAATCGAACAATCCGTTGAAAATACGATGTATATAAGAGAAGCAAAGCACCGTGATAGTGACGTTTGCTCTGCACCGGCGGCGATGGGTTAAGGAGGTTGCTTGGGTTTGTACGTTTCTCTTTAGGTAAAAACAGTTGTATTGTTTACGGCGTAGGTGATCTAGAAAACGTGGTGGTGTGGCCCCCATGGCTACACCTTGAAGGTATGGCCCTGTATCCACCCTGGCCCCATATGTATCTACCCTGGCCCCATATGTATCTACCCTGGCCCCATATGTATCCACCCTGGCCCCGCCTGTATCCACCCTGGCCTTGCCTGTATCCACCCTGGTCTCGTCTGTATCCACCCTGGCCTCGTCTGTATCCACCCTGGCCTCGCCTGTATCCACCCTGGCTCGTCTGTATCCACCCTGGCCTCGTCTGTATCCACCCTGGCCTCGTCTGTATCCACCCTGGCCTCGTCTGTATCCACCCTGGCCTCGCCTGTATCCACCCTGGCCTCGTCTGTATCCACCCTGGCCTAGTCTGTATCCACCCTGGCCCCGCATGTATCCACCCTGGCCTCGTCTGTATCCACCCTGGCCTCGCCTGTATCCACCCTGGCCTCGTCTGTATCCACCCTGGCCCCGCCTGTATCCACCCTGGCCCCGCATGTATCCACCCTGGCCTCGGCTGTATCCACCCTGGCCTCGGCTGTATCCACCCTGGCCTCGGCTGTATCCACCCTGGCCTCGGCTGTATCCACCCTGGCCTCGGCTGTTCCACCCTGGCCTCGACTGTTCCACCCTGGCCTCGCCTGTATCCACCCTGGCCTCGCCTGTATCCACCCTGGCCTCGTCTGTATCCACCCTGGCCTCGTCTGTATCCACCCTGGCCCCGCATGTATCCACCCTGGCCTCGCATGTATCCACCCTGGCCCCGCCTGTATCCACCCTGGCCTCGGCTGTATCCACCCTGGCCTCGGCTGTTCCACCCTGGCCTCGGCTGTTCCACCCTGGCCTCGGCTGTATCCACCCTGGCCTCGGCTGTATCCACCCTGGCCTCGGCTGTTCCACCCTGGCCTCGGCTGTATCCACCCTGGCCTCGGCTGTATCCACCCTGGCCTCGGCTGTTCCACCCTGGCCCCGCCTGTATCCACCCTGGCCCCGCATGTATCCACCCTGGCCCCGCCTGTATCCACCCTGGCCTCGGCTGTTCCACCCTGGCCTCGGCTGTATCCACCCTGGCCTCGGCTGTATCCACCCTGGCCCCGCCTGTATCCACCCTGGCCTCGGCTGTATCCACCCTGGCCTCGGCTGTTCCACCCTGGCCTCGGCTGTATCCACCCTGGCCTCGGCTGTATCCACCCTGGCCCCGCCTGTATCCACCCTGGCCTCGGCTGTATCCACCCTGGCCCCGCATGTATCCACCCTGGCCCCGCATGTATCCACCCTGGCCCCGCATGTATCCACCCTGGCCCCGCCTGTATCCACCCTGGCCTCGGCTGTATCCACCCTGGCCTCGGCTGTATCCACCCTGGCCTCGGCTGTATCCACCCTGGCCCCGCATGTATCCACCCTGGCCTCGGCTGTATCCACCCCTGGCCTCGGCTTAAAACTAGACTAGATCAGAAATACCGAACCGTATAGCTGCCTGCGGCTTCAAGCGGTGAGCAAAGCATAGGTTGGCTTGCAAGCAATTTCCGGTCCTAGCACCTAGACAGAAACAGCCTCTCTCATCCTAGGAGGAGCTTATAGCTCTTCCTACCTAATATATATAAGAAAGAAGATGGACAGGTTTCGTAAGACAGGTAAAAATCCTCGATAAATCCGGTTCCCACACAATTACGGTCGACCACAACCTTCCCTTCCCATTTATCACTGTTCCTGCGTAATTCCTTTAATTCTCTCTCTCTCACCACCCTGCCCAATAGGCTCCGTTCTCCGCCCCAGTATAATGTCAGCTGTGAATCCCAGCAATTCGTCAACCTCAACGCTCTCAAAATAGGGGGGGGGGGCGGTTTGGGAAGAAAATAATAGGGGAGTATTGGAAGAAAATAATAGGGGGGTTTGGGACGAAAATAATAGGGGGTTATGGGAAGAAAATAATAGGGGATTATGGGACGAAAATAATAGGGGGTTATGGTAAGAAAATAATAGGGGGTTATGGTAAGAAAATAATAGGGGATTATGGGACGAAAATAATAGGGGGCTATGGTAAGAAAATAATAGGGGGTATGGGAAGAAAATAATAGGGGATTATGGGACGAAAATAATAGGGGGTTATGGTAAGAAAATAATAGGGGGTATGGGAAGAAAATAATAGGGGGTTATGGTAAGAAAATAATAGGGGCTATGGGAAGAAAATAATAGGGGGTATGGGAAGAAAATAATAGGGGGTATGGGAAGAAAATAACAGGGGGTATAGGAAGAAAATAATAGGGGGTATGGGAAGAAAATAATAAGGGGTATGGGAAGAAAATAACGGTGTATTCGTCTCTTATCTCTGAACAACCAAAAACAAATACATTGATTGCATAAAAAAGCATTAAATTTTTTACCATCTGCAGAGAGATTGTGTATTTGCGATTGACCGTTTTTGCTTCAAATCCGATAAAATCCATTATTTTCTTTCTTTTGTTGTGTTCTTGAACTATCCGCATGTAACGTATAACGCAGCGACTAACATCTATAATCCTGCGAGCATCTAATAGAACTGAGAGAGATAGATCCAGGCCTCCATTTTGTTACATATCTCTAGGAAGCAGCCCGTAGCAGCTGTCTTACACTCCCTAGTATCTATTTTACTGCTAGGTGAACAGGAGCATCAGGAATCGAACCCGGAACTTCAGGACTACGAATCCCTAGCGCTGTCCACTCAGCCGTTAGGCCCCTGACATATGCCGCAATAACATGGGAGAAAAGTATTACCAGACCAACATTTGTGAAAGAATCTGGCGACGTTTCGGTCCGTTTTAGGTACTAATGTGACGACGTTTCGGCCTGTCCTGGACCCCTTGTGTGACGACGTTTCGGCCTGTCCTGGACCCCTTGTGTGACGGCGTTTCGGCCTGTCCTGGACCCCTTGTGTGACGACGTTTCGGCCTGTCCTGGACCCCTTGTGTGACGACGTTTCGGCCTGTCCTGGACCCCTTGTGTGACGACGTTTCGGCCTGTCCTGGACCCCTTGTGTGACGACGTTTCGGCCTGTCCTGGACCCCTTGTGTGATGACGTTTCAGCCTGTCCTGGACCCCTTGTGTGACGACGTTTCGGCCTGTCCTGGACCCCTTGTGTGACGACGTTTCGGCCTGTCCTGGACCCCTTGTGTGACGACGTTTCGCCTGTCCTGGACCCCTTGTGTGACGACGTTTCGACCTGTCCTGGACCCCTTGTGTGATGGCGTTTCGGCCTGTCCTGGACCCCTTGTGTGACGGCGTTTCGGCCTGTCCTGGACCCCTTGTGTGACAACGTTTCGGCCTGTCCTGGACCCCTTATGTGACAACGTTTCGGCCCGTCCTGGACCTTTGTGTGACGACGTTTCGGCCTGTCCTGGACCCCTTATGTGACAACGTTTCGGCCCGTCCTGGACCTTTGTGTGACGACGTTTCGGTCTGTCCTGGACCCCTTGTGTGACGACGTTTCGGCCTGTCCTGGACCCCTTGTGTGACGACGTTTCGGCCTGTCCTGGACCCCTTGTGTGACGACGTTTCGGCCTGTCCTGGATCCCTTGTGTGACGACGTTTCGGCCTGTCCTGGATCCCTTGTGTGACGACGTTAAGGCCTGTCCTGGATCCCTTGTGTGACGACGTTACGGCCTGTCCTGGACCCCTTGTGTGACGACGTTACGGCCTGTCCTGGACCCCTTGTGTGACGACGTTTCGGCCTGTCCTGGACCCCTTGTGTGACGACGTTTCGGCCTGTCCTGGACCCCTTGTGTGACGACGTTACGGCCTGTCCTGGACCTCTTATTGATATAACTTTCCCGTTTTGAATCATGTATATTCCATGAAGATTTCGCGTTATCGAATTACGTCAACAATACAAATTACTCCCCTGTAACATTTTTATGTATTTTTACGTTGTTAGCAAGTAATGGCCTAGCCTGTATCCACCCTGTGTCCGCATGTATCCACCCTGTGTCCGCATGTATCCACCCTGGCCTCGCCTGTATCCACCTTGTGTCCGCCTGTATCCACCCTGGCCCCGAATGTATCCACCCTGACCCCGCCTGTATCCACCCTGTGTCCGAATGTATCCACCCTGGCCTCGCCTGTATCCACCCTGGCCCCTAATGTATCCACCCTGGCCCCTAATGGATCCACCCTGGCCCGTCTGTATCCACCCTGGCCTCGCCTGTATCCCTATAGCTTCATCTCGAGTGATGGTAAAACTTTGGTTTCAGAAATATGTAGATTAATATTCCGTTCACCTGGGGGTCTGAAAGACTCGAACCCTGGAACCCTTGAATGTGAGGTCGACACTCTATTGACCTGTCTGCCTTGGTCTCTCTCTCTGGGTGTCTGGACTTATCTTGAGGTTATCTTGAGAGGATTTTGGGGCTTAGCGTCCCCGCGGCCCGGACCTCGACCAGGCCTCAACCCCCAGGAAGCAGCCCGTAGCACCTGTCTAACTCCCAGGTACCTATTTACTGCTAGGTAACAGGGGCATCAGGGTTAAAGAAACATTTTGCCCATTTGTCTCCGCCTCCACCGGGGATCGAACCCGGAACCTCAGCACTACGAATCCGAAGCGCTGTCCACTCAGCCGTCAGGCGCCCCTATCCGTCACATTCTTCACAAAAATTTAAAGAATATTATCTGAATTTTGTTTGGTAATTAAACCTCACACACTTAAATAAGTTCTCTGTCTTCGTACTAACCCCAGCCACTTATAGTGGACGGTAGAGCGATGGTCTGGCTTCATGCAGGTCGGCGTTCAATCCCCGACCGTCCACCAAGTGGTTGGGCACCATTCCTTTCCCCCCGTCCCATCCCAAATCCTTATCCTGACCCCCTTCCCAGTGCTATATAGTCGTAATGACTTGGCGCTTTCCCCTGATAGTTCCCCCTTCTTACTAAAAACCTGAATTCTAAAATAAATAGGAAATAGCAACAAACTTCCCTATTTCACTAACCCATTAACCCATTCCCCTTTAATGGAATCCGCGAGATGCGTTGCTTTAGGGGAGATTAATTATGAGTGCGTTTTTAATGCGTCGACGAACCCTTAATTAACATTCCCTTGGCTAAAAAGCTTGTTTATTTTCTTAGCTAACCAGCGAGGTTAAACTTTCATTAACTTGGTTATTAAGGTTCATAATTAGTTTGAGTTAAATGAGTTGAGGATTAAAGGATTACTGGGATTAGCGTTGGTGTGTGATATAGTGTAGAAAATAGTTATACCTATAGTGGGATGAGTTGATGGGGGATTGTGAATTATATATAGATTGTGACATCTATCTATACATCTATATAGTGTGTTATATATAGAGGTCACAGGAGGTTGTCCAATGAGGATGTACCCATGAGGTTCAAAGATGTCCCATCCACATGGGACATCTTTGACATCGGATATGTCAGGCTCTAAAAATATTTACTCAGCACCTAAAATCCGACGTCCTAGTGAATTAAAAATCATGCGACGTATTAAACTTTAAACCACCGTGAAAGTGACGTTTACTGTACAGTGGACACATATGTGACGCCTTAGGCTTGGATTAGTGCGTTCGTGGTTAGGCAAAAACAGTTCTATTTTACACGTAGTTGCAAAATCCAGAGAACTGAAACGTCGAGGCAAATTAACCCCCTCCTCCCCCATCCCCCCAATACCCCCCCCCCTCTCCTCAAAAAATAAACAAAAACAGGAATATCAGACTGCCGTTTGTTCCGTTTGTTCCGTTACAGCAGTCTTGCCAATTCCCTTTGTAGTAAATTGGTCCCAAATTGGGAAATATTGTACGAAATTGTGACCACTTTGACCCCCGAAGCTTTCATCACTCAACCTGACCTCTCACGCGCAATTCATCATGCTTTTGTTATTTTACGAAATTGACCAAACCGTCATAAATATAACGCAGTGGTGAAAATTATTAATGCACCGTGATACTGACGGTTGATTTGAATTGATCTCGAAGGGGTAGGTGGGTTGTTAAGGCTCGTACGTTATTGGTTAGATTAAACCGTTGCATTTTGTTACGAAGTGGCAAACAGCTGAATTTTCAACCGAGAAAAAATTTGAAGATATTTTACTCACTGTTTTCCTGTGACCTAAACTTATATTACATTATATATATATATTTATATTAGGGGGAGAGAATGTAAGGGTCAGACTACAGGGGTATCTTGCCCACTATTGTTGGGTACAATGCCCCTGGTGTTGGGAATAGCGTTCCTAGTGTTAGGGACAGTGCCCCTTAATTTTAAGAGGAAGGTTGAGGTAGTCCCCTAATTTTAAGAACGGTGCCTCCTAATTTTGGCAACAGTTTCCACTTAATGTTTGACACAGTGCCCGTACAATGCCACCTATAGTGGTGGGTAGAGTGCCCCCCTTGTCCCTTGGGTACTGTACCC